GGGGGGGACGAGAGGGCAGCCCCCGGCAGCGGCTGAGCCGGCAGCGGGTGGTCGTTGCAGGCCTCGCAGGGCTGGTGGTGCCGGCCTGTCCCGGCTCCGTCCCCTGCTCGGGGCGCAGGAAGCCGGCAGCGGTCGGCAGGCTCTTACCTAGCCAGCTCCCCTTTCCTCTCGGCAGCTCCATGTATTACGATGAGGATGGGGACCTCGCCCACGAGTTCTACGAGGAGACAATCGTTACCAAGAATGGGAGGAAGCGCGCCAAGCTGAAGAGGATCCACAAGAACCTGATACCTCAGGTAGCGCGGGGAGAAGGGTGGGGGAAAGCAAGTGCCAACGCACCACGGTGACAGCTGAAGTCCCAGCATTGCACATGGGCCTTCTCCCTCGAGGCATCTTCTTGCCGGGAAGGCAAAGGCTTTCTGCTCTCCCTGCAGCGTCAGCCTCAGAGTCGTGGCTCCTGTGTGTCCTGGCTTACACCCGTGCCACCTAGTGAGGCTGTGGCAGGAGAGGGAGAGCTGGTGACACCCTCCAGCCCCCCTTTCCAGAGAGAAGCGATGCCTCAGCCCTTTAGAGCTGCCAGGCTGGGGATGATAGCTCAGCTGGGTGTGTGTTGTGGGGCACAGAGTGCCAGGCAGCCATGCACAGCCGTGGTGTCCCATCATTGACTACCTTCCCCAAGCTGTGGGGTGCTGCGCTTGCTCAGCTGGTGTCACATCGCTGTGGAGGGCTGGGCCATGGCTTCGGGAGCAGCAGCCAAAGTCCATCACCTGCTGACGCAAGTGCGCGTGTTTTCCCCGGCTGCTCAGTACTGATGGTGGTGTTGACAGCTATGCGTTTTGCACCTCACTTTGCAAAAGTCTCCTCTTAAAATAAGCAACTGGGGTGAAGCCAGGAAGGGGCTGGGACACCAGCTGAGGGTCTCGGTGCAGGAGAAGGATAGCCTGCATGTATGGAAGCTGCTGGGGGCATAAATGGAGAAAAGGGAGGATCAAACCAGGGCTGGAGAGAGACCCTGCAGGAGTCTTTCCAAAGTAAGCAGAAAGGCACGGCTCTAGCGAGCACCTGGAGCAAGCTGTTGGTGCGCTCTGAGGGGTGAGCAGCCCTCCAGGAGGGTGGGACCCCTCTGGGCACCACACAGGCAGTTATGGGGGGGAAGGATTCGGCACTGCTCCCCAGGCTGGCCTTCTTGCAGAGGCAGGCTCAGGCTGTGGGACTGCCTCCTAACCCTCCTCGATGTGGGTTGAAACTCACTTGGTTGGAAAGTTCGTCTGAGCCGGAGAGAACAGATATCGGCACTAAATAGCCCTTCGCTAGCCCAGGCTTTTCTCTGGCTCTGCGAGTACAGGCCCAGCCCCGAGCCCCAACTCCAGCCCCAGCCCCCCACCTGCCAGCAGGTCCTCCCAGTGCTGTAACAGGAGAAGGCTTGGACGGAGCATGGGAATGGCGCCTGTGGCTGGCGTGGAGGGAGCATGCATTCAGCAGCCTCCCCTCTGGATAGAAAGCTGCTTTTCTTGTGTGCCAGCTGCCCTGGCTGCTTTCTCTCTGAGAGCTCTTTTCATTCTTTTAAATCCCGTGAATGAAAGGTGCCGGATGAAAAGCCCAGACGGCCAATATCTGCCAGTCACGCACCAGCTGCTGCACGGGCAGTGCCTGGCAGAGCAGCTCCCTCCTTTCTCGCTCTGCTGAGCTCCAGACCCGCCATGTGTGGCAGCCAGCCGCGCCGCCCTCAGCTCTCCAGGGACAAGTTCGAAGGGCAAAGTGCTTTCGCTTTGCATGCCGCTGTTCAGGCGTACCTGGTGTCACTGTCACGGCGGCTTTATGGACTCCTGTTCCTCGAGGGCGTGGTGCCCTCTGTAGTACAGGGTTACTCACAGGGCTTGGGGTTGTTGTTTGGTGATCTCCTCTGCTCACCACTCTGACTCTTCTTTCAGGGCATAGTGAAACTAGAGCACCCTCGCATTCACGTGGATTTCCCGGTGATCATCTGCGAGGTGTGAGTTACCAGACGTTGCTGCCCGCGGGCGGGAGGCCCTGCCCCACCGCTCCTAGCCTCACCAGGCGAGGCTGCGTCGTGTTCCCACCTGAGGAGGACTCTGGGCGCGCAGCGGGGACGGCGGCTCTCCCCTCGCCTGGAGGTGAGGCAGGACGGAGCAGGCTGGGCTAGGCTTGGCTAGCGCTCCTCGCAGGAGATGGGTGACCTCGTGCAACGACTGCTTAAAAATATCCTCGCTTGAGTCAGAAGACTAAAATACCTTTTGTAGCCTCTAGCCGACGTTTGATGGGTAACTGGAACTGCAAACGAGCTGCTGTGTTTGAGCTGTTAAAGGGAGAGCGAGCCTGCACTTCTCGCCAGAGAAAATCCCCTGCTTCTCAGGTATGCGGCCCAGAGAGAGCCAGGACAAGGTAATGCGCTGCCCGGGGCCCCGAGGTCCCTCAGGCCCGGTGGTTAGATGGCCAGTGTTGCAGTGTGTCGCTTGACGTGGGTGTTATGTGATGCTCCCCTGGATGGGTCTGTTGATGGAGGATAAACGGGGCAGGCCGAGGGTGGCCGGTCTTGAAGCACATCCGGCTGGCTGCTGCGCTCCTCTTGGGAAGGGGATGGAGATCAGATGCCTCTATCTTGGACCTCGGTCTCTTCCCCCTGTGCGTTTCCCTGCTTATGCCGGCTCTGGGGAGGTTGGCTTTGCTGCTGCCTGCAGTCTCTCTGCCCGCAGGAGATCTCTGCGGTCTGTGGCCGCTGCTGGCAGCAGCGAGGTCCCCAGCTCTGCAGCGGACTTGCCTCCCCCGTTAGCAAGCTGGCTCCTGCTGAGTGCCGTCCTTCGCCCGCTGTGGGGTCGGGCTGCTGGGCAAGACATCTCCTCGTAACGTCCTTGCCCCTGGTGCCGTCTTGAACGTACCTCCTGGTGGGGTGGGCCTGGACAGAGCCAAGCAGGAAGGAAATCATCTCTTTGCTCCCCGTCCCCCTAAAACAATCGATCGGTGTGCCTGCCCTGGCTTGGAAATCTCCCTGGCGATGTGAACTATGGTTCCTCCCATGTCCCAGCCGGTGGCAGGAGGAGAGATGTGATGCACTTTAAAGGGAGGCTTTCTGCTCCGTCTCGGAAGGTCTTGCTCTTTTCTCCTCTTTCCTCCCGCTTGAGAAGGTTGAGGTCGCCTTGGCAGCACCAAAAAACCTCTCACCCCTGCGTGCAGGCCCTGGGGTGCCGAGCCAGCTGCTGCAGGGCCAGGGAAAGGCCTGACTCGTACCGCCCCTTGCCAGCGCTGGGATCCACTGCCTCCCTGCTTGACTGCCCCCCGGGGCGGGCAGGCGGAGGAGGACCGGCCATGGGGCAGCAGGCACAGCTTTAAACTGGGTCAGAGCCTGCTCCCCGCAGCAGCCAGCTCGGCTTTCCTCCTCTTTCGTTCCAGAACTTACTTTCTAAGCACTTCAGACGTTTGCTACCTCGATTTTTAATTTAAGCTGCTGGCACTTGGCTGCCAGCCCTGTCAACATCTACGTTGGATGTATCCATCCCCTTGCCCGCTGAGAGCCGCCCGGGCGTGGGGCCACATTCTCAGCTTCAGGGAGATAACAGCGGCGTGGCTGTTGCCGTCTTCCTGTCACCACCTCTTCCCTCCGCGTCCCCCCTCTTCCCTCCGCGTCCCCCCACCCGCTGTTCCCATCAACAGGAGCGAGCACGAAGGGTGAAGCGGATGTTCTGGCTGCCACTGGGCAGGGAAGCAGGAGGGCAAGGCTCCGGCAGGGAGCCCGTCTACACTGTGATGCTGGGCGCTTCTTTTGACATCTTTTGTTCTCCTGCTTGCTTGAAAGAGTCTTGTCTTAAAACAATCCCCCACTGAAGTGTTTCTTATTTGCACCACCTGCTCTCGAGTTTCTCCCGGGCTGGATCTCCCCGGGAAGGGCATCCCTCGGGCTCCGCAGGAGAGCAGGAGCTGCTGCCCCCAGGAAGAGGAGAGAAAGCCGTGGCCGGGCTGTCTGTGCCACCTTGCCCCACTGCTGTCTGAGGGCGCGGGAAGCTGCACCAAACCCGCCTTGGGCACGGGGGGGAGGCGGAGGAGGAGCGGGGAGGGGGCCGGTGCCGTTTTCCTCCCCAACAGGGAGCCCCTCGCCTGGCTACCGGCCAAAAATCTGCTGACAAGGCAAGGCTGGAACCCCGGGGGGGGCAGAGACTGAGACCGGCTTAGCAAGGATGCTTTTGTCCTCCCTGACAGGCTGCCCACCCTTCCCCCAGGGTGTCAAACATGCTTCCCCCCAAAAAACACACTTCCTCCCACCCCTTCCACCCCCCTCTGTGTCACCAGAGCAGCAGCGAACCTCCGCAGGCTGCCAACAAGCCGCGTCCTGCCCCACTTCTTCCCAGGCTGGTCCCCCAAGCAGCCAGCCCGCCGGGCCCCCTCCCCTCCCCTGGCCTCCAGCCCTCCTGCAGCAGCAGGGCCTTGGGAGCACCTGGAGGGATCTTAAAAATGTGAAGGTCGCTGTAAATAGTATCTGTGTCCACTGTGGTGTTGGAGCAAGCAAAAAAAAAAAAAAGGAAAGTTTTCCTCTCAATTTTTTTTTTTTTTTAAACGATTTCTGTGCGATGTCGTGCTTTCCCTTGTAGATGTATAGCTGAACCATACTCACTCACACTAGGCTCCTTGCTCCTCTAGCGTGCGGGTAGGACCCGTGGGTTTGGGAAACGTACACTATTTATGGTCCTTCCTCCCAGTGCATCTGTCCACTTTTGTTAAATTTCAATAAAATTATTTGTAGAGCCTGCAAGTCCAAGAGCTGTCTTACTGGAGAGGGCGGGTGAGCAAGCAGCTGCGTCCATGGGCAGACGAAGGAGATGCTGGAGACCCGAGGGGAGGTGGGCTTTGCCGTGCCGGTCTGTTTGCTGCTGGCACTTTGAGCCCCCTGTTTTTTCGGGAGGTGGGCGTTTGTGCACATGTGGCTGAACTGGTGGTGAAGGAGCCACGAGTCACGGCCGTTTCCAGGTGCTCCAGTTTGGCACACGGTGCTGGCAGGAGTTGGTGGCTTTGTCGGGCTGTGACTGTGCTTGTAGCTGCTGTGACATCCTTTACGTATATAACTAAAATGTGTTTGTATAAATATATTTAATTTTCTTGTTCAGCCCCAAAGCGTTGGAGCTCGGGCCCCTCTCCCCTCCCATGTGGGGAGGGAGGTCTGGAGGGACCTGGGAGGCAGCGAGGGACCAGGGCGTCCTGGGCAGCCCAGCCTCAAGCCGACCTCTTCCCATCCCTCTGCCCGATCCCTGCAGCGGGGGGAGGATCTGCTTGTCTGCTCCTTCATCGCCTGCCCCGCCAAATCAGTGCCTCATTAATCACCGGGGCCTGACGACTTTCTCAAACCCGGCATGACCCCGTGCCAGGATGCTGCCTGTCCCTCCAAGTGGTGCTGGCTGTCCATGGGGCGAGTGTGATCTCACTTTGTGCCCTGTGTCCTGCCCCCGGCAGCCCTGCAAATGTTTTCCTGCAGCCACCACCACCTCTCATCATTTCCTCCGCGCAAGCCGGCTCGGAAATGAGTTGCTGACGAAAGCTGTAATGAGAGAGTGGTGCGGCGTGTCCTGCCAGCACTTTGGCTTGCGGGGGACGAGGCTTTGGGACTTTTGCCTGGGGTCCCAACCCCAGGAGGGACAGATCGTGGTGGCCTTTAGGGGGACTGGGTGGCTGCGCAGGGTGGTAGGTCTCGGTGAGGTTAATTAAACAAGGCGGTGGCTGTGGCTCGTCAGCCCCGCGAGCATCTCTGTGTCCACTGGGGTCACCCCAGTCCCCCTCCTGCTGCCCACAGGGCAGGGCCGTGCCCGCAGCACCCGGTCCAGGGCAGAGGCAGGTGCCGACCTCCCCTCCTGGCCCTGCGGCTGCTCCATCCCCAAGCCGAGCTCGTCTCCCACCTTGCCCGGACCTGTCTGGCACGAGCGGATGTGACTCACGCCCCGTTATCCGGCATCCGTGAGGGATTTGTAGCCACCCCTCATCGCGCTCAGCGGGGTGAGACGGGAGAGGGGAGGCTGGATCTGTCCAGCTGCCCCCTCCCAAAATCCAGGGTCTTCCATGTGGGAAGGGAGGAGGGAAACAGAGGCAGGCGATGCTGAGCCCTCCTGAGGGGACGGCAGCGAGAAGCTGTGTTGGGTTGAGGACTTCCAGCCTTCCCGGCAGCGGAAAGCTGTGACCCCTTCGGCCACCCGGCTGCCGGCGGGTCTGGTTACCTTCGGCCCACAAGGCCGTGGAGGATGGAAAATTTTAGGCATTTCTGCCGCAGGCGAAGGGAGCCTGTTTACTACCCGGAGGGGAAGGGCAGCGCCCGCCAGCGCTGGGATTTCTTGGCTCCCCACAATCTCTCTCCGGAGGGTTTTGGCAGCCAACGCCCGGCCGGTGGCCGAACCTCCCTGCCCCTCTCCCGTTGCCCGCAGGCCGGGCTGAGCTGTGGGGTGCAGCGCAGATTCGGAGCGGCCAGACCGGACGCTGTGCCCGTCCCCGGCGGTACCGTCACCCCCTTGGTGGGAGCTTTGCCGTGAAAGCTGAGACCCAAGCGGGTCCCACTAATGGGAGCCATCTGCGGGTGCCAGCGGCCCTGGGCTTGGCACCGCCGGCACCGAGGGCCGGCACCGAACAATGCCGGGCTCAGCGCTCCCACCCGCTCTCCGGGGAGCTGACGGGCGGCTGGGGAACGCTTCCGCAGATTCAACCCTGTTTCCTTCCCCCAGCGGCCCCGGCACACCCTCACGCTCTGGCCCCCGGCGCTTCCTCTGCGGGGGCACCCCGATGGCCCCCAGCCCGCCAGGGCCAGCCCTGGCCAGAGCGGGCAGGGGACGGGCAGGACATGGGGACCACCACACGGCTGGTCCTTCAGCCCTGCCTGTCCCGCTGCCCACCCGGAGGAACCCGCCGGAGCCTCGGTGGTGCCCCGGGAAGGAAGCCCCCCGCCTCCCCCAGCCCCGCTGCCCCTGTGGCCCCCTTGTGTGTCCCCCCGGGCAGGAAACCGGTGGGGCCGCGGCTGAGTCAGCAGCACTGATTCCCCCGGTCCCGCACAGGACGTCCTGCCTGGGGGGGGACAAGGGGGCCGCACTGCCCAGGGGACACCGCTGTTCTGGGGACACTGCTGTTCCGGGGTCACCACCGCCCTGGGGTCACCACCAGCCTGGGGTCACCATCATTTGGGGAACAAGGTGATCCTGGGGACACCATCCCGGGGTCACCGCTAATCCGGGGTCACCGCTAATCCAGGGCCACTGCTGTTCCAGGGTCACCATCATTTTGGGGACAAGCTGATCCTGGGGACACCAGCCTGGGGTCACCACCGTTCCGGGGTCACCACCATTCCGGGGTCACCACCAGCCTGGGGTCACCACCATTTTGGGGACAAGCTGATCCTGGGGACACTATCCCAGGGTCATCGCCGTTCCGGGGTCACCACCAGCCTGGGGTCACCACCATTTTGGGGACAAGCTGATCCTGGGGACACCAGCCTGGGGTCACCACCGTTCCGGGGTCACCACCATTCCGGGGTCACCACCAGCCTGGGGTCACCACCATTTTGGGGACAAGCTGATCCTGGGGACACCAGCCTGGGGTCACCACCGTTCCGGGGTCACCACCATTTTAGGGTCACCACCGTCCTGGGGTTACCACCGTTTTGGGGACACACACACCC